TGTCAAGTAGTTTAAATTTGTATTCAGCCCCTTAAGTACACATTGACCTCTACCACAAGGCCTCCTGTGTGGTATTTTAAAAACATCAGAGACAATTAAAGACAAAATGATTTTGAGGTCAAAAGATTAATGATTAACTTATTCAGAAATTTTAAGTTATTCTGATAATATTTTACAATATAGGTAAACAATTGATTCATCACTGTATGAGAAAGAAAGAATGAATAAGAATATCTGCACATTTATATGCACAAGTTCATGTGTTTGGTGCAAAGGCTAGAGCAGCCTGCTGACCACAGTGACCTTTGAAGAGCTCTGTTGGCTTTGCCTGTGATGCTGAAATTGCTTTCATTTCTCAAAGTTATTTTGTTTCCTAGGGTTGTCATAGAAAATTATCACAAACTAGGAGGCTTAAAACAACAGAAGCTTATTCTATCAAGGATCTAGATGTTAGAAATCCTAAATCAGATTTCAGCAGGGCTCCCCTAAACCCTAGGCTCTAGAGGATTATCCTCACTGACCCCCTCCGCCTTCTAGTGACTCCTGGCCATTCTTGGCTCATGATTTTGTCATTGTCATCTCTGTCTTCATCTTCATGTGACCTTCTACCCTCTATCTTTCTGTTTCCCCTTTTCTTCTCAGGGCTTGTCATTAAAACTAGGGCTCACCTAAATCTGGGATGATCTCCTCTTCAGATGCTCAACTTAATTACAACTGCAAAAATCTTTTTCCTAAGCAGGGTTCCATAAAGTTCAGGGATTAAGACTTGGCTATAGCCTTCTGAAGGATACTACTAGATCCACTACTGTCTTCATGGGAACTATGAAACTACTCTTTAAGAGTCTACCAAGGGCACAGGCAAGTGATCTTGATGGAGAAGGGACTTGGGTACCTCTGTGTTCACTTCCATGTGGTTGATATTTTTGAAAGCCAAATGCAGAGGAATGCCTGTTATTTTGCTTCCTAAACCCTCTGCTTGCTACAACAGAGGGTTGTTACTCTGTGACCCAGTCATTTACCTTCTGCAATTGTTTATAAACCATGGCTGGGAAATAACTCTAGAGATGCAAATCTGAACAAGACAGACCTCTAATTTGTCCATCCAAGCCTCAGTATATCTTCAGTCCTGGAATTTCTATTTCCTTTTGGGCAGTAAGCCAACCTCTGGATCTTCATGCCTCTTAATTCATCCCGTTCTTCATGTATCTGGTGGTCAGCTCTCCCATTTTGCAACTTTCTTTTAGCTTCCTTTCCCTACCACACACAAGCAACAACTTTTAAAAATTCTCTGTGATCTTGCCAATTAAGTACTTGAACAAGATAGGACTGAATTTGGAAGGTATTAGACATAATAGGTAGGCCATTACCACTGGTTACCAACCTGGACTCATTAGCAGTGATTTTTTTTCTTTTCACTTGCCAAAACATAATGAGGTTATTAATTAGCACAATGCACGTAAGTGTTCTTGGTTTCCTCTAATGCCATCTGGGGAGAGGGTTCGGCCTTTGGTTACAATTCCTGTTAAATGGCTCAGGGGAACACATTTAGATTTCCATAAAATGTTTTCCTTTAATAAAAACTTGTTCTCTTTAAACAGCTTGGCTTTTAGGTTCCTAAAATTCCCAGTCATTTATGTGGCTTCACACAGCTGCAGAGAGGGACGGAGGAGTACGGCAGTCAAATACACAGGCCCTGGAGCACAGTGTCTGAGGTCGAAGCCTGGCTCTGCTGCCCACTGTGTGACATCCTACAAGTATCTAATCTCTCTGTGTCAGTTTTCTTTCCTGGCCTAGTGAGGGTTAAATGGATTTATATATGTGAAATGCTTAGAACAGAACCTGGCACACCAGAAGTAATTCATATATATAAGCAGTTATGCTTATTCATTAGATGCAAAGAAATTCTTTTGAAAGCTCCTGTGCATAAGACAGTCTGGTGTTATGCCTTTGTGGTCAAAGCTCATGGGTTGACAAAAAGTCCAATGCTAGGTGTGGCATATCTCCCAGCAAAGTCAAGGCAGCAGCCCCAACACAATACCAGCTATTGCCATTGCTCTTGCTTGCCCATCAGGACTTGATGGCAAGACCTTATTGCTGAAGACACCACACACTTTCAACACAGGACATGGAGAGATCAAGCTGGTACCAGCCAGAAGTTTCCTCCCTGTTGACTAGCTTTCATAGTGCTATAAGGTGCTATGGAGGCTGTTGGAGGAGAAAAGTCATCAGTAGTCTTGCCCAGCTGTGAATTCTATGAGCTACAATAATGATTTGTCTTGTAGGATATGCTCCTTGGTACAATAGTGGCATGAATGTTACAGAAGTAACCAATAACTTTCTGATTAGATTTAAGGCCCACTCCACAGAGGGAATATATACCTCATACTATAAACATTGCCAAGAATCAGTGACTAGGGAATCATATATGCCCTAGGGGAGAACCTACCATTGTTGCTTTACTAAATGGACATAGTAGCAAACTGCCTTCTAAATACTATCCTTACGTTCATAAATGAGCATAGCTCTTACCCCTCATCAGAGACACTTCTTATTGCAGCAGACGGCGTTAACACACACACACTCACAACCAGCCAAAGGGCAGAGAATCAGTGACTGTGAAATGCTTAGCCCCAAATGGGACATCTATATCACCCCTCCCCACAAGGCTCAAGGGACATTGTAGAAGAGGTGACAAAGATTGTAAGAGCCAGACATCAGGGAGGCAGCTGTGAAATAGTGTCTTCTGGACATGAGTGGGCTGCTACACTCATGACCTCACAGCAGTTGTGGCTGCCTGTGTAAGACCAGGACAAGTCAACATTTCCAGCATGGATGGAGAGGGGCTCATGAGGCTGTACCCCTAACTGAGAGCTAATGGCAGTTGATTGCTGCTGGGAGAAGGAGAGTCAATTTTCTTTAAGGGTGTGGCCTATAGTAGGTTGCCCATACTCCAGTGGCTAGCTTTACATCTGTGTGCCTACAGGCAGCTGTCATTAGACTCAGTGGGTTATGAAGAAGATAGGGAAATGTGGGGGTGTGGGGAGAGAGAAGTTGGAGGGAGGTTGGGGTGTGATCAAAATATATTGTGCACATGCATGATATCCTCAAAGAATAGATAAATACAATTACATTTTTTAATTAATGACTTGAAGTCCAAACCACAGTACCCCAGAATGTGACCTTATTTGGAGAGCGGTCATCAAGCAAAAGCAAGGTCATTGAAGTGAGAGTGTGCATAATTGGTGTCCTTATAAAAAGGGGACTTTGGATACAGGCACATACATCAGGAAGTCAATGGGAAAAGACACATGGAAAAGATGGTGATCTTAGAAGTCAAGGAAAGAGGTCTGCAGCAGGTCCTCCCTTACAAGCCCTCAGAAGAAACCACCCTACCAGCACCTTGATTTTGAACTTCTCACGCTCAGAACTATACAGAGCAAGTTGCTGTTTAAGCTACCTAGTGGTGATCTTTATTACAGCAGTCCTAGGAAGGGGACAGAGATGGATATAACAACATGCCTCTATCCCCATGGAGCATACTATGTGGCCAGAAGGATATGTTAGTCCATGGGACTGTGGTCACAAGCAACAGAAACTCACTAATGCCATAAGCAGATGAGCACAGAAAAAGGTCCACACCAAAATCGAGGCAGAAGCATCGCTGGTGCGTAAACCTCAAGAAGGGTCCCCATCTCTTCCTCCTGTCCCTCTCTCGGTGACTGGGATATCTCTTTCTGTCTTCACTATTGTTGTAATCATCATCATCCTCCCTTCCTCCTCCTCTTCCTCTTCTTCCTCCTTTTCTTCCGCATCCTCCATTCTGGCTTTCCATGCTTCCCTTATACAACTAGCAGGAAATATGGTCCCATGTAGCAACCAGGCTTATACATTAAAGATATAATCACCTGTGGGCTGAGGATATGGCTCAGTTGACAGACTGCTTGCCTAGCATGTGTGAAGCTATGTATTCAATTCCCAGCACTAAATAAAACCATTAAAGTACATATCTGTAATCGTAACACTTGAGAGGTAGGAGGACCAACATTATCCTCTGCTATGTAGTGAGTTCAAGGCAAGCATGTGTTAACATGAGATCCTGTCTCAAGAAACAAAACAAAAAAAGATGCATTCATGTAAAAACAAGCTGCATGACTTGCTCAGAAGTTTCAAATTTTAAGAAAAATTATTGTTATTTTTATTTTATGTGTACGAGTGTATTGCCTGCATGTATGTAAGTGCACCCATGTCGTGCAATGCCCTCAGAGGTCAGAAGAGGCTGTCAGATCCCCTGGTGTATAGAAAACTTCATGGAGCTCTCCCATGTAACCTCCTGTCTGGAGTTGCAGACAGTTGTTAGCTGCCATGTGGGTGCTGGGAATCAAACCTGGATCCTCAGCAAGAGTAGACACTGTTCTTAACTGTTGAGCCATTTCTCCAGCCCCAGTTACAAAATTTTGAGGAAGAGATTATTATTATTCCCTCACCCTGGGTCAGATGCCTGCCCATCAGCTATGATCAAAAGAGCATAGACATGACACTTCCTCTGTAGACATGTGTGTGGAGTGAGGGAAGGGGCTGTTGCTAAGAAAGGATATTGGGCAAATAATTTGGGTATATCCTGCTCACAGAAGCATGAGGCCAACCCACTACATAGCACAAGCTGAGGGGTTCTAGGGAAAGCAGCCTGTTGAACAACATTTGGCATCTTATAGTCACAGAACAAGGGGCCTACTTGACTTTCGGGGAAGCAGAAATGAATTATGGTTATGACAGTGGGCCCTTGAATCAGAGACCATGAGTTCCAGTCTGATGTGTTCACAGTGTGAAATTAAGCATGTCACCTGCCTATGTTCACCTCTGTTGGAAGGGGAGATGAATGAAAATGGCATTTCTGAGGGGAGGCCTAAGTATGCACTGATACATAGGTGGACACAGTAAACATGGCCGGCCTTTACCACTAGTGTTGTACACGTCCTTTTCTATTTTGCTTTCTCCTTCAGGCTGAGTTCTCGGAGCTGAACCTGGCTGCCTATGTAACTGGGGGCTGCATGGTGGACATGCAAGTTGTGAGAAATGGGACCAAAGTTGTGAGGTAAGCACCCCTAAGATACCAAAGCCATCTGAGAAGTGTGTATAGGAAACCTCACAGAGCTCTTCCCTGCAACCTCCCTCGGGTGCCACATGCACTTCCCTGTGCCTGATGACGCCTATAGAGTCCCAGGTGCCCCTGCAACAGAAATGACTAATGGCACAAACATACAAGAGGTAGATATGATGCTCAGGAGTAAGGCCAAGACTGGGGCAAAAAGGCTGGAGTTCTGATTTTGGAGTTAACTCTAGTCTGCCTGAATTTGGTTCCTCTTGCTCCCTGTTTCTTGTGTGCAACGTGGTGATAGCAGCACTGTCATTGAAGGCTGCTAAAGTTTCTGTACACTTGCACGTGTGAGAGCAGCCTGTGCAGAAAGAATAGACTCCATCCCTGCAGCTCTGCAGACCGTGTTCAAAGAATCCCCTCCAAACACAGCAGACCTAAAAGCACCACATTATCACTTTCCAGAAATCGGTTTAGGATGGACGCCGAGCTGGAAAGGAAGTAAGGGAATTCCTTGGAAACCAGAAATGACAAGTACAATCCCACAGGAGAGATAAGCATGTGTGTAAATGCAATCCTGTGTAATTAAGGCCTGAATGAGAGGTATACACTCCTGTGTGTGAGGGACGGTTCAAACAGGCAAGAGTTGGTGCTCAGGTTTGGGCAAGTAGGAAGGACAGGAAGAACTCTGGGGGAAAGGTGGCGTTTGTTTGCATCTTGCCAATGGTTGGATGTGGACAATCTCAGGCTGGAAAAGGAGCATGGGAAATGTGCCTATGTTGATAAAGACAAGCAAGCGGTGGGGCATGGTTGGGGGATGCTGAGCCATCAACTAATGGAGTCATCATTTACTGAGTGCCTGCTTTGTGCAGGAAAGGCATCATATGGCTTCCTGCTTCCAATAATGGTGAATTACATCATTTGACACACTTTAAAATTAGTTTCCCACAATGTAATGCTTAGAAGTCTTTGAAGAGTTGACATGACAGTGGTAATTGCCAGGTGTTTGAACATTTGGTCTCCAGCTGAGGGCATTGTTCTGGGTGGTAGTAGAGCCTTTGAGATGTGGGGCCTAGCTGGAGGAAGCAGGTCACTAGGGCAGTCCTTCAAGGCCATACCTGCCTTGGATTCCATCCAGCAATGTCTGTTTCCTGTCAGCTACAGTATAAGGATCTAGACCACATGCTCCCACCACCATGGAGCTGCTCAGCCCCACCCTCCCCACAATGATGGCCTGAAAGACCTCTGAAACTGTGCTCCAAAAGGAACCTTTCCTCTCTTGCGTTGCTTCTGTTGGGTGTTTTATCACAGTGATGGGAAAAACAACTAACACAAGTACAAAAGCCACTGTGTTTTGAGAGTAGGTGCTAAGTGGTCCAAACTGGAAAGTGGTTTTGATAGGCTAGAGAGGGAAAGGGAGACAGAAATCAGCACCCAATGCAGCTCATACTAGGGGATATAATGGCAGGCACCTTGCTCTTCCACATAGTAAACTAAGACCCCAAATGACTCTACCTTCGAGAGGAACGTGAACCTGAAGTAGCTGAGCCCTCACAAGTGCCTCCAAGATGAACTATAGTGTGAATTTCTTCAGCCTTCCGGGAAGTGTCAGGCATTAAACATGGTGTCTGGTGACCCCACACATGCCAGAAGTGAGATCAAATCCTACTCAGAGGAAGGTGCTTTCACACTGTGCTTCACCGAATTCTTTAGATGAGTGCTAGCACCTGGTTGAAGATAGCCAGCACAGGCACCAGGAGTCAGTAGAAACAGGAATGATGGATCATGGGAGTAGAACCTCAAAGACTTGAGGTGCTGGAAATGTCAGATACCTATCATTAAAAGAGAAAACCCTGTATATACTGAGTTGAAAAGAAAATCAAGTTTGAGAATACCTGCAGGAGCAGGAAACTATAAAAAGGGAATGGTATTATTATTTTTTTTGGTCTTTTTGAGACAGGGTCTTCCTGTAGCCCCACCCATCCGGCCCGACACTCACTATGTGGACCAGGCTGGCCTTGAACTCACAGAGATCCGCCTGCCTCTGCCTCCCAAGTGCTGGGACTACAGGCGTGTGCCACCACACCCAGCAATGAATGGTATTTTTTTAAAACAGAACTTTTTTTTAAAAATGGAAAATTATAATAACCAAAATTGTTGGATGTGTTATGTTTCACAGCACATTAGATGCAGCTAAAAAGCATTAATTAAATTAAAGGAATTATCCTGAAATGGGCAGAGAGAATGAAAAAGATTGGAAATGCAGAAAAGTTGGGTAGGTCTAAGGACATGATAGAACATTCATTTAATTACAGTGTCAGAGAGAGAAGTGGGGGAAAAAAGATTGGAGCAGAGGCAGGATTACAGGAAGTGATTCTTTCAGGATAATGCCAAGCCAGGATTATTTGTTTGTTTTAGTTTTGTTTTGTTTTTAATTTATTTAATATCCACATAATTAGTGGAAGCATTTCTTTACAACAGCATTGACATAGTCAATAACAGTTTTCAGAGCAAAGATGAATCTCTTTCAAAAATTGGCCAGGATTTTAAACAGGATTAGGAAAAGGAATTCTATACCCAGATATGACCATTCAAAAGACAAAGAAAAACATCTTGAGAGTAGGCCATTAAAAACGTAAATTTCTTTTATTGTAATTGTAATAAGCAACAGTTTTCTAGAAGCCATGGTGAGGATGTCTTCAAAGCACTGAAAGAAGTTCATTGCCAACCTATATTTCCACCCATAGGAAAATATCATTTATGATGATAACCAAATAAAGCATTTGTACACAAAGAACAGATCCTCACTAAGAAAAATTGTCAGGTATGTATTTTAAGCCAAATCGAAATGATCCCAGAGTAATACAGAGCAGCAAGGAGATGTGAAAAGAAAAGATAGTGGTACGTGTGAGTAGGTGTTGACTTCAGAGGATAATACTCATAGCTGGCCAGAGGAGCACATGTCTGGAATTGCACATTCAGGAGACCAAGGTAGGAGGATCAGAAGTTTGAAAATGGGCTGGGCCACATAGTGAGATCCTGACTCAGTCATCATGACCATCACCATCACCATCATCATCATCACCACCACCACCACCACCACCACCACCACCATCACCACTACCACCATCACCACCACCACCACTAGTGTATATTGTTAATTACATTAAATAGGAATGGACTAAATTCTCTAATTAAGAAAAACAGGCTTTTCAGGGTAACTTTAAAAATTATAACTACATTTCCTTCAAGACATTCATCTGAAACATAAGAATAGAGAATGTTCGAAAATTAAAGGGTAGATGAAAATACACCAAAAAACTACTGGTCAGAAAAAAAAGCCAGCTGAGAGCCAGGCATGGTGACACAGGCCTATATTCCAGGACATGGTATGGTAAAGCAAGAGGAACAAGAGTTCCAGGCTACCTTAGACTACATATTGAGTTCCAGGCCACCTCGAGTTGTACATATAATGAGGCCCTGGCTCTTAAAAGACAAAACAAAACAAAACAAATAAGCAGACAAACAAAACTAGCTGATACAGCTACATTAACATTTAGAGGAAAATAGACTTTCAGGTGTAGTGTGTTAATCAGAGAAAAGGAAGTAATGATTTATGATGAAGCATTTGTTTATTGAAGAGAAATAAAAACTTTAATTTTATAAGCACCAAGTAGATATACCACAAATATATTCCAAAAATTGATATAATTACAAGGAGAAAGAAATCTGCCATCATGGAGGATGTTGAGGCTGATGTGCATTCATGTACTTTCATGGTAGCCACATTTTGCAACAAGTCTATAGAAACATAAAGTATTATTATTTAGGGATCTATATTATTACCTCTATGTCCACTATGTCCAAAAGAAGGGAAGGGAAACTCCTTCCTTGGTAACAGTTGGTGTGTCCTCCATCTATGCTGTTACCTTTCAAATTTGGCTGCAGATTAGAATCTTCAAGGAACAGATTCAAGATTCTGATGCCCAGGTAAAACTTCAGACCAGTCACACTGGAATCTCAGAGGGCTGGATATAGGCAGCAGTATTTTCAGAGCTCTCTAGGTACTTCCAATGAGCAGTGTTTTAGTTTCATTTCTATTGCTGTTATAAAATCCCCTGACAGAAGGCAACTTAGGGAAGAGTTTATTTCATCTTACAATTCCAGGGTACAGTTCATCATAGCAGGGAAGTCAAGGTGGCAGGGACTTAGAACAGGGAGTCACATCCCAACAGTCAGGAGCAGAGAGAAATAATTAACCGCTTGCTTGTTTGTTTGTGCTCAGCTAGATTTCTCCACTCTCATACAGTTCAGGACTCCAAGCCTAGGGAATGGTGCCACCCACAGTGGGCTGGGGTTTGCCATATAAATTAACTTAACAATGACAGTCCTTCATAGACATGTCCACAGGCCAATATACTGCAGAAAATCCCTCATTGAGACTCTCTTCCCAGATGATTCTAGGTTGTGTCAAGGTGACAGCCAAAGCTAACCATCACAAGCAGCCACCCACAGTGTTCTCATGGTGGCCTTGGTCTGGGTTGTCTGGATGCAGGAATCACCTTGTGAAAGTAGAAGTTCTCAGGTCTTTTCAGCCTGCTTTCTTCTTCCTGAATTTACATAGTTGTTTGCAAAAGTGAAGTTATAGAAATGCCACAGGTGTTTTTAATAAGCTTGTCCCCTGGCATTTAAGAATAGCAAACTTTGAATACATTTTATGTTGAATTGTGTTCCTTCCAAAATGTTGTGTTAAAGTTCTAGCCACTCACACTAAAGCATGTGACTTTATTTAGAAGTAGAGTCCTTGCAGACATAATTGGTTAAGATTAAGTCATACTGTAAAAGTATAGATACCTAATCCAATATGACCTGTGTCTTTTTAATAAGAAACTTTGGGCTAGACATTATATCATAGGCCTATAATCCCAGCAATCAGGAGGCTGAGGCAGGAGGACCTGGAGTTCAAGATAGACCTGGGATACGTAGCAAGTTCTAGGTCA